TAACCTTCATATTACTGTAAAATATATTTAAAATGAAAAGTACCAGTGCAAATAAAAATGTAATGTAAAAGTGTTTTAAAATCATTGCAACAGCTTCTTTTCATTGATTGGCAGAAAAAAAAGTTTTTTTCTTTATGAGCAGTGGTAACCAGGCGTTCAATGTCCATGTTCACTGTATTATTAATTATTTATAAATATAACTATAAAAAGTTACGATTTAATTCACATTTCTGTCTGTCTACTTAAGTAAAAAAAATCTGAAAAATTTCGATATTGCAATGGATGACTATTTATTAGTGATACACTTTAGCTGTTCTATTTAATTACAAATGATGTAAATACAAGCGTTTTATTTCATTTGTATATGGTTTTATGGGTAGACATTTATTTTTGATTATGATTTAATTAGTTTTCCAGTTACAAAATAAATTTTTTTTTAATTTGATTTTGTTTGTTATTATTTTAATGATAATGCTTTTATTAATTTGGAATACTTAAAGTAAATTTTAAAAAGTTTTCGACAATAGTTCAGTGGAAACTGTTACACTATGATTTTAGAAAGAAAAAATAATTGATGTTATATGCAAAAGTTGTCTTGTACTTTTTATTTCTATTAATCAAGAAAATAATGATCAATAAGTAATTTACAAGATCCTAATTTCCATACATAGAATGCGCCTAGTTTCTATAGCAGCTAGCCCAGTAAAAAATAATGCATGTGTCATAGGTGAAATTGATATTCGGGCTTTTTTCAGATAGCCACGCTAACATTTTGCAATGCGCCATGCTAATTTGGAAAAGTATCTAGCATTTTTTAATCTATTTTATACTTTTTAAGCTTATTGCATACCTTTAGACTAATTATAAAACATACTATGCAATATTCAATCAGCCTGATTTATTTCAGGCAGTTTTCAGTAGGCCGAGAGTAGTAAAGACCTATTGCTGGTTTATTGCATTAAGCCTTAGAAAATTCAGTCTGATTGAGCGATTCTCCTCACATTTCCAAAACGTGTAAAGGCTGATTGTTATAAGTCTAAAGAATATATTTTGGACTAGAGAATGCTAAGAACTTTTCCAATTAGTCTGGCACATTTTAAAATGTTGGAAACGTTTGCAAAGAGCCGGAATTTTCAATTAGCCTACCTCATATGTTACGCTAAGCTCAGATTCGAGAGGCGAGCATCCATTGACAGCTGATTAAAACGATGGTGAATCTGACTTGTTGGATTAAGTCTCTAGCACTGAATAAAAGTTCCTGTCATCAAACAATTTGGAATAAGGAACATTTTTTTTAAAATTTAAATGAACGTGCTCAAGTATAACTCACTGCCATTCCATGAAAATGACCATTACTGTTCAGCAAAGTTTTTAAAACACTCTAAATGCATTGAATCTCATCTTTGTTTACTTTGTTGCTCTTGTTGTTTTGTACGATACCTGTTTCCATGTCCTTCAGTATAAAGGCTAAAGAAGCTGTCAAGGCTCATCTGCCTGGCCTTTGACTGGTTGATTTTATTACAAATAACCGTCCAAAATGTGGAATACAAACCTTTGTTTGAAAAAAATACTATAGATGTGCAAAAGGTTTATTCTCTTGTTTCTTTTCCACCGAAGTTTGTTTAACTTGTGAGCATGTGATATATGTAATACTGTTTTCATTTGTTGTCTCCAGTCTGATTTTTTGTAGAATCTTCATAAGATCAATTTCTTTATTTCCTTTCTGTGTGCATGAAATTAAAATGATACAAATAAATTTCAAAAAAATTATATTGTTCTCCTTTTTCTTGCACGACATATACATAGATCCTTTTTACTGAATTGTAGATACCGCGATCAAATTAATAAAGCTACAGTTCCTTTTCAAGTCTTGGTTGTCTATCCTTCTTCAAAATACCACATACACTATATTAATGGCCAATTAATAATTCTTAGGGGGAAAGTATCCAATCTTGAATGAATTTGTCGTGCTGAACATGAATATCACAAAAACGAAGAGAAAAGCTGCTTTTCTCTTATTAAGAAGGTAATTTCTTTCTTTCTTTTTTTTTTTTTTTTTTTTTTTTTTTTTTTTTTTTTTTTTTTTTTTTTTTTTTTTNGTTTTTTTTTTTTTTTTTTTTTGTTTTTTTGTTATGAAGTTGTTTTAATATAATACAATTTCCTTATATTAAATTATACATTTTATCATATTATACATTATATTATGTTTGAAAAAAATAATTAATCAGTGGATATTCTATTTATGCAATATATCCAATATATATATCCAGTTAATATAGTAACTCGAGTAATTTAAGTGTTTCAAGTACTTTTAATCTTATACTTTTCAGGTTGCTTTTGTTCAGTACTTAACCTGCTTGTTAGCAAGTAACTATACAAGAATACGCATTACTTACGTAATGTATGTAATATATGCACTTTTCTTAATTCATAAGTTAAGTAGAGAAAAAAAACTTAACCACTTCTGCCGTTTCCTTTATTTATTTATTTATTTTCGTTTTTGCGTTTATCACTCTAAATGTATTAGGAGCTTCCTACATTCATCTCAAAAGCTTGTTTCTTTTCTTTTCTTTAATTGGCTTTATAGTTATTTAGCTTTATAGTACATTAGTTTTATAGTTATTTTACGTAAAAGTTTTTTTTTTCTTTTCTTTTTTTTAAAGCAAAGCGTAATTCAGGTTAGCAAAAACTATTAGCTAGAAATTTACTTTTTTCTTTCATGTGCTGCTTTAAACATTTATGTCTAAAGATGAGCAACTGGCCTCACTCTGCTTGAATTTCAAATTAAATAATTCAAAATTAACTGTTTCTCGAGGTAAATACAAAGCTAATTTCAGCAAAATTATAATTTTTTTTCCAGCCATTTACTCTTTTAAATGAAGATTTAAAAATTTTTGATTATTTGATTTAAAAGTAAAATTTCGTCTTAGTTTTGGAGTTAGAGACTTACGAAATTTTGAAGTTCTTTTTCCTTTCTTTTTTTTATGTATTTTTGAAAGACTAATAAAAATACGTACTGTTTTTCGTCTTTTGAACGCAAGGTAGATTCAATCAGCGAATACATTTGATCTTGTATAACATATACAGATTTTGTTAGGCTAAGGGCTATAGCAATTGGCATTCCCATTACTGATGTTCTTCAAATGTAACGTAGTCCTGCAGTGGACTGATCGTTAAGACACGGTTCCCAGCAGATCACCGAAGTCAAGCATCACTGGCTGCGGTCAGTGTGCGGGTGGGTGACCACTTGGATCAGTCTGTGTAGGGACCGAGGGTATGCGGTATTGGTCCTCGTTAAACTGTTCTACAGTAAAGTGCTCGACTTTGCGTGCAAGTCGTCGGGCTACCGAAGCGGGGGAGCCATCACCTCTACAGAGATTCAAAATTGTGATGGCATGTCTTCGGATCATCCTCAGGGATGTTTCCCAGACCGTCGCCAAGAGCCCATTGTGCAGCTGTAGTGCGACGTAAATAAACTACTACTAGTAGTCGAATGTAACGTAATCGATTTTTGATAGTAACTATGACAAAGTGGTTAAAGTAAAATTTGTGTTTCATAAAAACAAAATTTTTTTAATAAATTACGTTGTTGACAAACGAGTAACATTTTTTGTAACTACTATTCGAATATACGACTTTAGCAAGATATTTATCAGAATCATCAGATAAACTTAAATCTACAAAATACAACAAGGTTTCCATTTTACAAACCGAATTATTATCAGTATTAAGTTGCAACAAAAAATGTTTGCTTGAGAATCATTTCACATGTTTTATTATGGAATGCATTAATTGCTATAAACAGTACAATGAGTTTCGCTTTTACATCTCTTAATTCACAACTACATATTTTTCGCTTTGAAATAAAAGAGACCCATTCGGAAAAAATCGCATATGCAAGATTGAAAATTCAAACGTGAAACTGATTAGTCAGTTTTTTGCAAGTAAATTCATATAGGGTAACAATTCATATGGTTGTTAGGGCACTAGGCCCATGTCCAAGCGGTCTGGATTTCGATCCCCGTCAGCCGAAGTTTCCCAGTGTAGTAAATGGTGACTGATACACGTTAAATCTGTCTAGTCACAAAGTCCTCCACGTTCTCGTAACAAATAAGTAGCTCAGGGGGTACTGATCGAAAGTTTCCTTGTCTTCTGGTTTGGTTCAAAATTTCAAGGCTACAGAGTTGAACACCAGTAGTCGTAAACCCAAAATTGGGTCGGCTGTTCAACGACGGTTGAAAAAAAAAAAGCAAAAGTAAACTCATATCAGAGTCTCATTTACATCTCTAAATTCGCATTAGCGAATTTTTGTATCCAAATCAGAAACTGATGCGATCGCACGCATAAGCAATTCACACCTGCGTGAGCAGATCTTCTTTGGGTTCGATTCCAATTGCTGATGAAACCTCATTGGTAAATTATATTTTTTCGCGAAAGTAAAAATATCACCAATTTATTTCCCCTTAATCCTCTATGATGATCGGAGATGTGGGAATTGCAACAAAACAGGTGGAACAGGAAGTGAAGAAACGACCATTCTCTTTGCTAGCAATGAAAACGGAGCCTTAGGTACATTTAAGGGTTATTCTCATTACATACAAATCCCGCAGATGAAAACCAATGTCTTCAAAGGAGAATGACAAAAATATATTCTTCCACGAAAAACTCATTATGAAGCATTCCCACTGCATACGGTTCGTATATGTGATTCAACGTCAACTTTTTTAAGCAAGCTGTGTGTCTTACATTAAATTCTAAACATTCGCACACGCTGCTGGGATAATTAGTTTGGCAGCTAGTAGTTCACTAACATTGAGAATCCTGTTTTGGTTCTTCGTTTTTCTCGATGACAATTTCAGATTTGAAAATCAATATAGCGTGAACGGCTTCTAGGAACTTTTCGTACATGCGCAAAATTTCATGTGAGAGGTAAATCGGATGCTATGAGAAAGGCCGCATCCAAGACGCAAAGGTACTTTTTTTGACAAAAACAAGTCGCTATGAGCGTATTTATGTTTATGTATGCAAATCGAGTGCGAAGTTCCAGTTCAAAGTAAATTTTATGTAATAAAATAATTAAAATGCCAAAGGGTCAAGATGGTAAGCAAGGTACTACGCAAGAAGTATACTTTTTATAAAGCTTTCTCTTTTATCCCTGTCCTGTATTTTTTTTCAATTCAAAGTAAGATTGTTGAATTTCGTTTGAGAAATGTTTTTTTCTGAGAAATTATTCTGTTACTGTTCTTACAGATAGTTGAACCCTGAAACAAAATTTTTATTTCAATTGAAATCTTTATATTCTTAATAATTTATTAATATATTAAAATAAAAATTTGTTATTAAATTATGGCATTGATCAGTTGTAAAAAACTCTCAATTTCGGCGATGGTGGATTTTAATTATTGTTATTAATAAGCATTATTACCACTCTTTAGACTCTATCAGATACTTTTTCAATGCTTATATACTTTGTGACCTGAATGTATATCTTGAAAGCTATGTATTATTTAAGATCGATAAAATATCTTATAAAGAAGTTTTAAAATCATTTAAATTGCTGCAACTTTATATCATATTGTAAGCTAAAGATAAAGCACTATGAAACAACTTTGGTTTTTCTGTAATGTTGGTTATACTTTTTAAAAAATAGCATTTTTTTTTTTTTGAAAAACTCGAAAAGTTCCTATTGTTTGCTAGTACTTTTTGTCCCTTCATGTCTGCTAGTTTTGCTCTTCAAGTGTGTCATCTGATTCTACAGTGTTATTATAATAACTCTTTTTTTTTTTTGAAATGCCACTGACTGATAATAATTAAAATGTGGCTATTTTGACATTATAATTATAACTATTTTGCTTCAGGTATCTATTTATAAATTTTCCTTTTTAAAAAATATCATTTTTAAGCTAAATATATAGTTTTTGTATTACAAGAAATTTTCACTGTCATTTGGTATAGTATACAGATATTTGAGATTTATTCAGTTCATACGTTATCGCTGCTCTTCAAATAGGCTAAAACAATATAAATGAAGCCAAAGAGTACACTTTTGGTTTGGAAATTCACCCAAATTTCATAACTCATATCAAATTCGAAAATAAAAAATTAATGAATAAGGCATGCCATGCTTGGAAATAAAAATGTACAGTCTAGAGAGGCAAAAGTAAATCTAATAATGGTCAGCTCTTTTGAAAATTAGCAAAACACTTGAAAACAAAAAACAGATGATTTTAAAACATCACATCGTTGACTGGAATTGTCAATTCCATAGTAACAGACATTAGATCAAACAATTTTTTTGCCAAATTTTAGCTACTATATATTAAGATATCTTCATAATGTAGCTAAAAATTTATATTACCTGGTTTAAAAAAGAAAAATCTCACTAAAAAATCTGTGATTGGAAACAAAGTTGACATGCTTCAAACGCTCAAAAATAGCCACTTAAACTCAATACTTGTCTGGCATAAATAAGAAGAAAAAAAGTGATTTTAAATATAAAACGTTAAGTGACAACTAAAAATGATAAGTAAAGATAATGATAACAACTGGAAAAACCACCTAGAGCAGTGTTCCCCAACCTTTTTATCACCGCGGACCTGTCAACGTTTGCAAATTTCACCGCGGCCCGCTGGGGAGGGGGGGACGCTGATTGCTTATATTTTAGATTATTTTGATTCATTAATTTTAATTTAATTATATTTAAACATGCCTTCAAAATAAAATACAGTTACACCAAAAAAATAAATATAAAGGGATTTAACATTTTAACTTACTAGAACGTTAAATCAATGAGAACCCTGAGCTTGTTTCTTTGCAATGAGACGGTTCCATCTGGGGGTAATCGGAGACAATGATGCATTACAAACATTAAAAAATTTATGCCACTACCTTCAGGGGCCCCTTTTATTTAAGTCAATAGAATTTTAAATCAATAAAATTTTAATTTTTAATTTGGGGTATAAATCTAGGAATTTAAATTTAGTTTCAATGAAATAGGCGGCCCGATACCATTTGATCTACGGACCGGTACCGGTCCGCGGACCGGGGGTTGGGGAACACTGACCTAGAGGACAAATCAGGGTAAAATGCATTTCCATGTACTATGAAGTTGTGGTAACAGACTAATGTCGTTAACAAGGGAATCAGATACGAATGAAACGAGTCCAGGGCATCAAAATGAGCTGATGTGATAATTTTGGCATTGTTAAAATTGAATTTATGCACACGATTCCAGCAATGCACATTATTCTTGATTACAAATATGCCGTATTCTTGATTACATGCGTATGTATCATGTACCTGAAGTCTAAATTTTAAAATGAGTCTGGTTTGTACGATATTGCCAAGTTGCTCTGGCAAGGTATGTGGTAAAACGACAGCATGTGAAAATATATTTTACCCTGATTTCCTTTTCTCATCCACGATGGTTTTTCTTGTTCTATTTTTTCATCTTTATATTTGTTTCACATTCCGCCACTGCATTTTTTCTAGTTTTGTTTCTCACCTTTATTTTTTATTTTCTGGTAGCCTCTTTACATTTTGCAGAGTTCTCCCTGTGAATAAAAAAGGGATGGGGACTGGCTACCAAAAAAGGGCACTAAGTTATGAAAGAGTACTCGTGCAACACCGTAAAAATGTATCAAAATGTGTAATGTTCTGCAATAACTGAATTTTATCTTCAGCAATTTTTTAAATTACCCTCTTATACTATTTTATATGTATATTTCAAAAAATAATTCTTACTCATTATCAGAATGAGAGAAAAATTTTTAGTTTATAAAAATAATTAATGCCATGCTAATCGATAATCTCTAGGCATAAATTTATTTTAAAACTAGTAAACTAAAATAGTTATTAATTGTTAAACAATTTGAAAGATTTTTATGTATTTTAAACTGAAAATTATGAGAAAATGCTATGAGATATAGAGAGAATAAGGAGAAAATGTTTAAAGCTGTATTTTTGTTAAAGTTATTTATTTAAACGAATAATTTTAAAAATTAAAGCTATTAAAAATTTTAACAAGTTGAGAGTAATCTAACAAAATAAATATTTGTAATAGTAATCGGAACTGCACCTATACAAACACAGATAATTTTACCAGTGTGTAATTATTGTTTAAACAGTGATTTTTTTTAATAATGGAATATGAATATAAAGAGATGGGCAACTTATTTTTACTAAGCGAACAAAGAGGACGTATCTACAGAGATCACGGGGCTGGCAGAGTGGTTCACCCTTCTGAAAACGCTTAGTGAGAACACTGCATTTTATATTTAAAATCACTTTGGTTAGTTCTTATTCATGCCTGGCATGTCTTGAGAATGTGCATCTATTTTTGCTTGAAACATCTCTAGTTTTATTTCCTTCTGCATATTTTTTTTTAAATCAAAGAAGTTTATTTTCTTATTAAATGAACCAATATCTTACTGCTTCAGTTTCTTAGGAATTTTATTTAAAAGAGTACTTATTGAATTTTTATCTATGTTTTAAATTTTATTAAAATTAGTTTTTATATTATAGCTGTTTGGGGTAAGAAGAAGAATGCTATAATGAGAGCTTATAGGAAAATGCTGAAAGACAAGAAGCCGAAAAATATGTCACACAACAGAGAAAATAAGCAAGATGAGCAACAGTAAGTTAAGTTTTGTTCTCGAATACTTAAGCATTAATTTTTTGAGATTGTAAATATCAAATAAATAGATTATTTTGTTATCTGATATTTTGATAACTGATTATTTTGATAGAGTAATGTTAATATTACTGTTAATTAATAGTTTCATTCATAGTATCAATATTAATATAAGGCCATGAAAATGTATGTCCATTTTAGAAATGTTCATGTAATTTATATTGCTGCCAACTACTATTATTTTTGAAAACTATTTTATAGAGTTGTAGACATTCATAATCTACATCTTTCAGAATTTTTGTGAAATTTGTAAACATTTTTAAAAGTTTACCAGGAGAGAACCAGAACAAAATTCTTTTTATATGAACTTTTGAGCATTCATATGCAGTAATGTGGAATATAATTTTAAATCAAGCTTGCTAAATAAAGAATCATACATTAAAACATAAATTTTACTACAACTAGAAGAAATTTCCCCCCAAAATGTAGAAAGTTGGTATCCCTGTTTTATTTATTTGTTTTTTTTATTTTTAACAAAATTTTTATCAAAATAACAGCAAACTGAAAGAAGGTTTTCAAATATTAAATTATGTTTTTGTAAATACATAGTATAAGCTTAATCTCAAGTGATATGGCAATTTTATTTAATTTCAATATTCGAAATGATATAAGTTCTATTCATTTAATATTTATTCATTTATTGAATTATTAAAATAAAGTATTTCTGCTTTTACAGCTCCTAATCCATTGTACAATTAAAACCAAACTAATCCTAAACTAGAAGATATTCAACTGTTACATGAAACATTAAGTACAATATTCTATATATTATAATTCTATAAAACATAATTCACCATAATCCACATTACCCTTACAATCTCTAAAGCAAACAGAAATAATAAATTTGTTTGTTTTTTTATCTAATGCTCTTAATAATTATGATTTTTTTTCTGCAAAGAATAAATACTTAAACTTATATCTTTGTTAAGTATTTGTATTTTAAAATTATTTCAAAGTCTAAATATTTGCAATATGTATACGTTGCTATGTTTAGTTGATAAGTATTGATACTGTAGAAAATTTTTATAATGCAATTTTATAAATCAGGGCTGATTGTGCTCCGGAAAAAATCCGGATTTCCGGAGATCGAAGCTCCAGATGTTTAAAAAAATCATTGATCACGAAAGTTTACGGAAATCAAATTTTCAAAGGTGGAGCTTAAAAACGCAGTTTATTTTATTTGTTTGTAAGGGAGAGCCAGAGAGATACTTTATAAGCTTATATTCATGATTAATATTAATTTTTTATAAGTAAATAGTTATTATAATCATAAACTCAAGAAAGAAATACATATTTGTAAATTTTAATTACTTCTCCAGGTCATCATAGGTATGTGTAAATGGTATAGGTATGTGTAAAATTTTAAATATATTTTAAGTAAACTAAGAAATATTGAGAAAAAGGGAAAAAAAACCTTGTTTAAATTTTTTTCAATGTAAACTGTTTTTTCTTTTTTTTTAACTCAAGAAATTTTCCGGAATTTTGACTTGGGCTCACAATCACCCCTGATAAATTGTAATTCTCTATAAACTATAATACTATACAATCTCTAAAGCTAACCAAAAGTGATACATTTGTTAATTCATGATTTTATTTTGAATTTCTTGATATTTTAAATTTTTTTCTGTAAATAATCAATATTAAAAGTTTTTGTGTATGAAAATTATTTTAAAGCAATAATATTGAATTATTTCAGATATGTTACTGTCTTTAGTCAATAAAGTTAATTTGTGAATTGATCTATTAAACATAAAAATCTTCAACCTTATTTAAAATTATCTTAATGCAAACAGGGTGGCCACCCTGAAAAAAACCTGGAAAAGTAGGGGAAATTTTTATGGAAACCTGAAAAAATCAGAGTTTTAAAGAAAAGCTAAAATTTTTTTCTTAATTTAAATAATTTTACCATTTGTTACACCCACTTTTTTTTAACGGAAATTTATCGTTAAAGAGGTTGAAATATCATCAACTTAGTAATGCTTTGCTTGCATTAAAATTTGCTCTGTTACAACTCTTTGAAACTAGAATGCCACATAAAACTTTCCCATGGTTGCTAAATGAATCACCTGTTTAGAGACTATGGGACTATGCAGTTTAAGAAAGGGGCAAAGATTGTGGTGGAGATGGAAGAAGAGGTTAGAATATTGTTTCTGTTTATTAGGTTTTTTTTTCCTAGTCCATGAGCTGAATCCATTTATTATTCAAGTTTGTTCCGATGCTTTAAGGGTATTTTTTTTCTTTTGACAAAATGTTTTAATATTTCTTACCTTATTAAATTCTCCAAATATTAGGTGTTTATAATTCAATAATCGATTTTATTGTCTCTTTTTCTGAAAGTTTTTGTACTCCCATCCAATGAAGCTGGTGAATTATTTTTTTTAAAGCATTGCTAACTTATCACTCATTTTCTTACAATTGCTAACAGCAATGATTGTGGACAAATCGTTACAATTGTTCCATTGATGCTAATTTTCTCAATTTCATTTTAACCTTTTGTAACATATTACTAGCTTTAATTGAAATGTGTTGTCTCTTATCTTCGCTTACCGTATGTTTACTAATATTTCTTTATGTGATAATTTAACTTGTACCCATATATTAAAAAACAAAATCACCATAAGATAAAGGAATCTAAATGTTTTCTTTAACCTCAAGTCTTTTATTCAATTATTTTTTTATTTAATGATTTTTTATATTTAATTTTTTTTTATTTAATTATTATTTTAATTTAAACTTAATATTTTTTTCTTTAAACAGCCCCTTTACACTCATTTCAGATAATTTTCTTTCTGTATTGTATATACTTTAAGATTTAAACATATATTTTCAATACTTGGATGAATCATTACAATCATGTTTTCTGCACACACAAAAAAATATTTTACTTACTAACCTCATTTTACAGATATATCAATATTAAAAAAGAACTGCATTAAATTTTTACTTTATTCTTATTTTGCATGTCATTTCAGAAGGGCTATAGTATATTACTCATAGCAGGGATGTGATTCTTCCACAGATTCGTGGATTTCCGTTTTTTTTCTTTCTTTTTCTTCAGATTTTTCCCTCTAATTTCAGCGGAAATTTTTTTTTTGAACAAGATAAAATATTTTATGAGGAATTTAATTTTCCTCGGAGTGAAAGTATTGAAGTCTTCATTCTTCCCTTTAAAGTTTCTCTAAAAATCATTTCCTTGGGATAAAACTGGTTGACCTTCATACAGGGATGAGATTTTTCCGCTTTTTAGCGGATCTTTGCTTTTATCGCTTTTGTCTCTCGAATTTCAGCCTTTTTATCAAAAACTCTGATTCTCTAAAAGCTTCGTTTTTTTTCCCTCATTAAATATCCCGCTTTTTTTTTTTTAAAAGAAAATTAAGTCGTTGAAATAAAATAATTATATTTATTTACAGTTTTCAAAGATAAACAGAGAATTCAAAGATAAACAGAGAATTCACGCTATATCTACCTGCTAACCCTTCCACATTTTTACTTATTTTAGCTATTTTCTCCGCTTTTACGCACAGAAAATAAGATTTTCCGTATTTTTATCTGTCCGCTGGATAGCTCGTATTTTCGTAATTCAGACATTGTTGCTTCCTGACGTGAGCAAGCGAGAAAAAAAAATAGAGGTGGAATTGCGGTGAAAATATTTGCTCATTCAATTAATCTTGTAAATTTTTATTTATTATGCCTAAACAATACAAACAAGCCTTTTAGAAATTATTCACGCGATTTTAATATTAATCATCGATTTTCGTATTTACCTGATTTCAAAGTTGCTCATTTTGATTCTTATTTATGCTATTTAAATATCATACATTATGATTCTTATTTATGAGATTTAAAAATCCAAAATCGCGTTTTGTATTTATGCATTTTTAAAATCGATTTTGATAATGCGATTTTATTATCAAACATTGATTGAACATTTGATTTTATTATTTTATTATCAAACATTGATTTTCGTATTTACCTGATTTAAAAATTGAACGTTGTAGTTCTTATTCAGGCGATTTAAATATCGTACATTGCGATTCTTTTTTACGAGTTTTAGAAATCCAATATCGCTATTTGTATTTACACGCTTTCAAAACCTTATGTGGCGATTTGTATTCACGCGAGCTTAAAATCGAATGTCGTGATTCGTTTTTGTGGTTGTAATATCAAACATCGATTTTATTTATACGTGCTTTAAAAATTATGCATCGTGATTCTTATTTACGTGATCTAAAAATTACGCATCATGATTTGTATTTTCGCATTTTTTAAATTTGATATAGAGTTTCATATTCACGTGATTTAAAAACCTCATATCGGGATTCATATTCTCTCAATTTAAAATCATGCATGTGATTCGTATTCATACAATTATAAAATTAATCATCGGGATTTGTGATCACATGGTTTACAAGTTTAAAAATCACTCTTTTTTGTTAAATTTGTGTGTATATATATATATATACATATATATAATTAATTATTCAGTCTTGGATTTCCTCTTTTTTACTTTCTGACTACTCTCATCCCTGTCATAGGACAATATATTTACAATCCATTTTAAAGCTGCAAGAACATAAACAATCCTAAAATGTTTTGTAAATTTTTACATAAATGGTTTCTTCTTGTCTTCCATTTTATATGTGAATTAAGTGGACGCCATATCACGGCAGAAACTTTTCGACACAAAATCTCTTTTGCCTCCATAAATAATTTAAAATTTTAAGTATCGAAATACTGGGTTCAAGCAAACCTAGATTAAGCCATGCAGTTTCAAATGCTGAAAATAAGTTTTTAAAGCATCAAAATGAAAATAAATTATGCAAAGATAACTTAGAATTACTCAATAAAAAGTTATCTTCCAATAATTTTTTTTCTTTTTTTATTATTTTGATATTTCTTATTTCTTAATCTTGAATGAGTTCTAAATAAATGTAGATGCTATTAAATTCAGTCTGACAGAAATTTTTACTCTTTGTGTCTTAATATTCAGGTTTTAAATTTTAGATAGATTTTTGACAACTTTTATACTTGATAGTCTTGCATACAGTGCATTATTTTATATTAAAAGTAGATTTATTTAATGTTAAGCATTGATATCCATTACATGCCTACAATATAATTTTATTTTATTTTTTAGAACTTTTTTCCAGAGAGCGATGAGTGAATATGAGCGCAGAAAAGCTTTTAGAGAGGAAAAGAAAAAAGTAAGATAATTTATGTTACTTCTTTTATTGTTATTATTATTTAATGGTATGATTGTATTAAATATCTTATAATTAGCAAATAATACTAATGTTTACTGAATCATTTACGAAATCGATTTTGCCAGTGTCTTGTACTTGAACTGAATTTATAAATCAACAGTACTCACGAGATATACAATATATCTTTTTTAAAAAACATATTTATTAACCCTGAAATATAATGTGAAAATTAATTATGTTAAAAAGATATTTGGTTGAGTGTTAAAATAATATTTAATGAGGTATTTTTTATAAAAAATAAAATTAGTTTCGTCAGTGTCTTGTACTTGAACTGAGCTTTTAAATTTACACCTCTTTATATTTCGATGTTAATGCATAAATTTTCTTATCCATATTTATAAAGATGCTATAAATTATAAAGATGCTAAAATTTTAGAACATGTTTTTAGCACTGAAATATGTTTATTATATGTTTGCATATCAGTTTTTTTTCCAGAAGTTTGTTATTATTTATTATATGGCTTTTCGTGTTTATTTCATTTTAAGCGAAAAACATATTTGTTTTTCATATGTCAACTTAAAAAGAAATTTTTTTAAATATTCTTTTTAAAACATGCTCTGTATATTGACACTAAGGGAGGTTCATGTTAATTGAACTCAAGCTGTAATATGTCTGTTTTCATGCCATTGTTTGTGCTTTATCAATTTGTTTCACTCTATTCACAAAGCAAACCTAAAATCATTTAAATATTATTTCCTTGGGTTTCTCTAATACTAGAGTAGGGTGTAGAAAACAAGGCACCTTAGAAAAATCACAGTGATAAATCTGAGTATTGCAGATCCATGGTAAAAGAATGCCATCTAGATTAAGTATGTAATCTTCGCATACACACATGAGCTTTCTTTATGTAATGTTTTTTTTTTTTAACTGTTACACTAATACCAGTTATTCTGAGTTTACAAATTTAGTATTAAGTTCATTTTACAGCATTTGTTTTAGTTTTTTTTTTATGTTATAATTTTTTGAAACCCCAGTTGGATCATGAATAACCTTGTACTTTGTATATATATAGCTTTTTATGTGTGAAAATTATTTCAAAATATTCATTACTTCTAAAGTTTTTCAATGACTTGTAAACAATCTAAGGAAGCTTATTTTTAAGATGGTAGTTTTTTTTCCCCTAGGTCTTATTCAAAGGTTTTTATTGCTTAGATATTATTAATATTCTTATTTTAACTGATACTTGAATATGATATTATAGTAGCGTAAAATGAAAATAAAAAAAATTTGATATAAAATATTTTTCAAAATCAAAAATAATTTTAAATTTCTAGAATTTAATCTATTTTGAGTTTTAAAAAAAAATTGCAACTAGAGGTTGAGAGGGGGCTGAATTAAAAAAATTTCTCATTGGAATATTAAATATGAATAAAGGAATATGATAAAGGTTGTGTGATTTGATAAAAGTTATTTTTAAGTGGGCGCATGTATGCTTCCTCGACGCTGGCTGATTCATTTTCTCTTGCTGCTACCAATGTGAACATAATTTTTTTCATGGTTGAGTTTTTATTATTATTAGAAATATTTCATTTTGTTTACATTATATAATTTCTGAGTGTTATTTTTGTTCGGTGTATTTTTATTGTTGCCTATTAATTAATGAATTTCAAAATGCCTTGAAATTGAGCAGAAGACTTGTGCATAGTGTTAAGTACTTCCTGCATTCTTTAAGGTGATATGCTTAAAAAAATGGCAATATATTGGTAAGCTATATTTTTAAATTGCTTAGGCGACCATTCTTTAATAGTGATTTTGGAGAAAATTGCAAACATTTCCATGCATGCAGGATGTTTCTCTGTATTGTTCTGTTATCTTGCAGAAATTTCAGTAACTTGTAAGGTACTTATCTTGAATCATAGTGAGGAACAGTTTGTTGCAAGGGAAGACTTGTTGCAAATCACAATATTCTCCCCAGCTTTTCATCTCAACAAAATCTTTTAAAAGATAACAAATAAGAACCCGCTATGACTGATGTGTGTCTAACCTGAATGAAAAATCTCAAATGCTTAAGCATTCAATTCTTATTGTATTGGCTATTCCAACAAATATTACTTATCATAAAAAATATTGCACTATTCAGAAACATATGAGAAAAGAAGAATAACGGAAAATTAAAATAATTAAAGTATCTGTAGCCTTAAAAAAAAATTATTTAAAAGGATCAGAGAGAGGTAATTTGAAATGATTAACGTGTCAATATGATGATTGGGAGGGACCCATGGTTAATACAGATTGTAAAAACAGTATTAAAAAAAACAACTTGAGTTATCTATTTGACATCCTTTATATTTTGTTTGTTAAATACAAATGAATTAAGATTAACTGCAGTTCATTGTTATCTCTACAAAATGTTTACTGGAATTTGAAACTAATATATTTTAGTAAACATGTCTTAAAAACATCAACAACAAAAAAAGTCATTTTAGGAATTAAAGACAGCTAATAAAAGGAAGCTTTTGTATACCATTTATCTTGCATTAAGTGTAATGCTAACTTGATTTTCTACCCCTTAGGTGCAAGATGATTTGTGGGAAAAAATTTGTGCATGAGCTATTAAGCTCGAATAAAGTTAACATTATAGTTCATGGAAACCATAATCCTATGCAAAATCCTCTTAAAACTTATGACTATATGTCTCAACAATATCCCCACATGGAACTTAATTGTTTTAAATCCTTAAGATAGTATACAGCAACACATAGTTGGATATTATAACTCAGCCATTTGTTAGTATGGCATTCAAGAATCTTATAGCATAATTTTTTTAAAAAAACTAGATTTCTACCTGCATTACTAAAGATTATTGCAGAATGAATATCACCAAGAAAGGCATTTTTTGAAATGCCTGAAAATATTCTTTTGACCATCAATTCTTAGCGTGATTCTTATTTTCTGGTATCCATGAAATTCATTAGTACTGTGTTAAATTAATTACTAAAGTATCAGCAACTGTGTTAAAGTATCAGCAAAGATGCATGGATTCATGAAATTAAAGCTATGATCTAGTATAGTATTAGATTAAATTGATTTTGTACGATTAATTTTAAATAATATCCCCTTTTTAAAGACAAGGAATTAGAATGATGGAACTTTATAGGCTGCCATATCGATATATGGAATTATTAGATCTTTTCTCATAAAAAACAAGAGAAAATTTGCTGGCGAGATTTACAAATGTTGCCATTTTTAAGAAATTTTTGTCTTGAGTTTGCATTGAAAGATTGCAACGTAAGAAATACAAATTTTACATGCATGATTTCACTTATACTGGGCATTTTATCTTAGTGTACACTAATAATTCGGGATTAAACTTTAGTCTGACTGGTTTTTTCACTCCCTTTCAGCATGCACACTTGCTGGTGAAGTCCCTCTTGTGTCAAAGTCCTATTCTAATTAAATTATTCATATTTATGAGTATTGTTTCTTTGTCAGTTCTCAACTATTTGTGATTATATTTATACACTTTTGTCAGATTTTGTGAATTGCTGAGAATTTACCATTTTAATGGTTAAAAGTATATATTGATACAGCTAAAATTTTGTGTTCATAAATACGCTTTGAATAAGACTGCTTTTCTAAAAAGAGATGTCCCCTTTTTTCCCTTTCAATTCACCCCTGTGAGAATCGTTATTTATTAAAGTATTACCATTGGGGATTTTATGAGATTATAGGAAGTTTTATAAAATTATTTTATTAGCTACATTATTATTCTTTTTATTTTCTGAAAATTCAAATTGTTTTTTTCTCCATAAATTTCAACTTAGCTAAAGGCATCAAAATTGCCTTCTAACATTATTTCAACTTCTAAAAATATCTGCAGGATTTAACTTTGAGCATTTTTTTTAAATAACATTCAATATTTTTTTTTTCTCACAAGGGAAGTTTATTAAAAAAATGTTCATAATTCAACTTCATTGTAATCAATAACTCTTTCAACGATAGTCATCTGGGAACAAGTTTATAGAATTTTTTATACATTTCTTTCTTATTTTATTACAATTCAAAGTGTTTTCTATCAATGATATCTTAAAATGCATTTATTTTGTATGTTTATCCTTGGATAATCTAATTCTAAGAAAGGAAAGAAAAAAAAATTTGATCCATATACTAAAAGTACAAATAGCTTTATGTAGTTCTGAATTTCACCTTTTCTTGCCAGAGCCATTAAACTATACTCTTCAGATTTTAGGTCTATAAAGTCGTGGTGCACTTTTTATCAGGTAACAGTATCATAAGGGTCAGAAATCCAAATTCCATTGAAATAAAGTTGTTAGTTTAAGGAAATAAAGTTTATTATCAATGTTAATATCTTCACTAGTGGGCCTCAACATTAATTCAAATAAAACATCCTGCTATGTGTCTATTTTTAACCCTCTCAACTGTTTGTTTGTCACATGCTGTTATCTAGGTTTTCAATTTTCGACAAATTATTTTCTTATTCAAAAATAGAATCTTTCTTACATTATATACTTAAACAACAAGCGGTTTTTTTCTTGCACTATTTCTCATAATTTTATTAAGTTAATATTCACTTTTAATTCCTATTTTGACTGAATTCAAAATAAAACAGAGGACGTAAATATTAATAATTATTTCATTAATTTCGATTGATAAAAATTATGCTTTTCAATTTTTCAAACTTTATCACTTACCTACGAAGAACCCTGTTAGGATACTTGCAGGGCTGAGAATCCCATATTCTATCATGGTGCGTAGCGTTTTTGAAAAGTGCTTATTTTCAATATTTGTTTTTTAAAAGCCCTTAAAGGTGCTTTTTTCATTGGGTGTTTTTAAAAAGTTTAATTTTCCCTTTTCAAAAACGTGATTTATTTTTCTTTGCCATATCAATTTTCTCAATTTATTATGAATATTGGAGCCTTATAAAAGCGTGCTTTTTACATTGTTCTGATTAATGATTTCACTATTTATTTCGTCGTAC